TATATATATTAAATCTATTTAATATGATAATCTAATTCAATTTAATATGGTAATGTAATTTAATCTAATGGTGGTTTTTGGTTATTGAAATTTTAGTCACTTTTCACCAATCCTGTATTCGGATATATATATATATATATATATATATATATATATATATATATATATATATATATACAGTGCTGTTCGATAAAATTGACTCACCTGATATTTTTTACTTATAATTTTTTCGCCTATTGTTTTTGCGGTCAAACTAATTTTTAATCTTACTAATATAAAGACCCCTTCCCGACCACCTAGTAAAAAAGTTTATTTACCTAAGATATTCTATTGATAATTATAATTTTGGATATAAATGAGATTTAGGAAAAACTCTGTGCAAAAAAAGTGACTCACTTATTTCCTGCAACTAGTAATCAATAGAAACATAACCGAACAGCTTTATATAAAGAATAATAGAGGTATAATTTATTTATAATAGGTAATATAGTTCGAAATATTTAATAATCTATGGGTCCTCCTTTGTTTTGAATAACCTTTTCAACCCTTTTTGGCATTGACTTGATTAAATTCTGGCAAATCTCATCTCCAAGCATTGAATTCCATTCGGATATGAAATTCACAATCAAAACCTCTTTGTTGCTCAACTGCTTTCTCGAGAGCCTGTACTTTATAACGCTACATAAGTTTTCTATGGGGTTGAGGTCAGGAGATTGGGGCGGCCATGTCATAACACTCACCTGCTTCTCATCAAAGTATTCCTTCATCAATTTTAATTTGTGACAGAGAGCATTATCCTGCATAAAATGAGCTTGGTGGGGGTCGATTTGCACCCTTTCAGCAGAAGGAGCAGACAAGACTCTAAAATTCTCTTGTACTGCTCGCTCTGAGGGTCTTTTCAATAGGTTTTAAAGAAACCAGTTCCACGAAAAGAAAAAGCATCCCAGAACATTATACTGAACGGATGCTTGACAGAACTTACTGCTAAATTGAAAGAGCTTTCAAAGCTTCTTCGTCGGATTTTAGATCGCTTATCCTTTGAATTTAGTTCAACTTTCGTTTCATTGGAGAAGAGAACATTTAGTAAAAGAAAATCAGGGGATGTTTTTAGTAAATATTCTCCTATATATATATTTTTTTAGTAAATATTCTCATATTTTTTTTTTAAGCATTGTGCCCCAAGCAAGGCGTGAAGCCACTAGGATGCAGGGGGTTGCGGAAGATTTGGAGCGAGAGCAGATAAGAGTGATAGGAGAAATGAAGAGGAGAAGGATAGTGGGTACATCAAGGTAATTGGAGATGTCGATTGACATTACATTTGAATAGTTGGAGATTATAGCTTTCAGGGAAACAGTAATTGGGAAGGGTGATCCATTGGCGAGAGGTGCGAGGTATGAAGCTATTGGAGTAGAAGAGACGGCTACATTTGAATGTTTCTACGGTGTAAGGGTGGGAGCAGGATGCCAGCCTCGTAGGGCGCTTAATTCATGGAGTCTGAGAACCAGAGAGCAGCTCATCAGAGCAGTTACCATATATATATATATATATATATATATATATGTGTGTGTGTGTGTGTGTGTGTGTGTGTGTGTGTGTGTGTGTGTGTGTGTGTGTGTGTGTGTGTGTAAGCTTTCAAAAGCTTCTTCTTCGGATTTTAGATCGCTTATCCTTTAAATTTAGCTCAACTTTCGTTTCATTGGAAAAGAGAACATTTAGTAAAAAAAAATCAGGTGCGTCACTTTTTATCACCACCTGATTTTCTTTTTACTAAATATTCACCTGATTTTTTACTAAATATTCTCATATATATATATATATATATATATATATATATATATATATATATATATACGTGTTAAGCTATATATAAGCTATATATATGTAAAGGATATATAAGCTTATATATATATATATATATATATATATATATATATATATATATATATATATATGTGTGTACGTGTTAAGCTTTCTGCAAAGGTTGGATTGTCATCAGTTTGTGTAACCAAATTTTCTCAAAGTGTGTCGCGGTTGGATAGTTGCGTATTTCTCACCAGTGCTGAAAGTTCGTTTTCGAATTCAGGTAAAAAGCTGCTCAAGACTTCCATGCCCGTACTATTGTGGCGGCCAAAAAAGTCCATTCGGGTTTTTTTCTTTTACGAGAAAATACGGCAATGATATAGTTACCGTTTCGTTCCAGTATCTTCTGCCATCTTGTGGGCAGATCCGTTATTCCCTGCTCAAATGGTTTCCTGCTTTCACTGGCGTAAAATACTTCCAGAGTTAAAGTTTCGTCCATTCAAACAAGGAGAAGTCTTATGGTCGGACGAATATAGAGTGTGCAATCCACCAAGCTTTAGTAACTTCTGTCTTGTCTGCAAAGAAGTGTGCAGTCTGGTAATACCATGGTGAAAGAGGATGTCCTAACGATTAGAAAGTGATAGACGTTTCTGGTGAATCCCTGCGTTTAATTTGTGCAGCTGGTCACAGTACACATAAAAATTGATGGTCCTCGCCGTGGGAAGATACTCGTAAAAGAATTTAATCTTTTTTTTTCCACTGTTACAGAATACAAAGCTCACTCAACGTAGAATATTACTGAGGGGGTTTGTTTTATGGACGTAAGAATTAGAGATTATGAGGATATATAAGAGAGATAACGGTTGACCCTAGATTAGAAGAGGACAAGATTGTAATAGTTGCGAAAGCATCCTCTTGGGAGTCTTTTCTACAAAGCGGTGGCTCTTGATAAGAAGCTCTCCAAATTGAACTTCTCCCATGTGTAGATGTAAATATCTGAACAGGTGAAACTAGGGAATGTAGCTCGTCATAACATATACTATAGAAAATGCGTCTAGAGATAGAGTTGAGACCTTGCGTCTGTGTGACTGGTAAACAAAAAGCTCACGTAAACATTACACACTAATACTGATTTCTGATCCCGATAAGAAAGGTGCATATATATATATATATATATATATATATATATATATATATATATATATATATAAAAATGTAAATGGATATAGATCCGACAGAATGAAGAAAAATTTTGAAAAAACAAACAAAAATCCTTACATGCAATTATGTTGTTTAAAATGAATGAAATGTCGACGTCTGACGTTTCGATTTAATAAACCTTCTTTCGAAAGCGTCGCCCATGTGACGACAACGTGAACATGCTAAACGGAAAGCTGATCATTTAAAAAATTTTCAGTTATCTGTTTTGGATAAGACTTGTTTTTATGTCCATCGTCTTTGTCAAATTGAACTGAATTGTATTTTAATGAATATTGTCCTGAAGAAGGTTTATTAAACCGAAACGTCAGACGTCGACATTTCATTCATTTTAAACAACATAATTGCATGTAAGGATTTTTGTTTGTTTTTTCCAAATTTTTCTTCATATATATATATATATATATATATATATATATATATATATAAAAAGAAAGAACAGTAAGGTATATAATCCGGTGTTCTTAAAGATATTTTTATTTTTACAAAATAGTGCTCAATGTAAATTTACAGAATAACTGATACAATAAAATACAGTGATAATGTACACGCAACCATCCCTTGTCTGGATGAATGGATTTCTCTGTATCTTTAGAAACGTGATTTATGAATTTTTGCAGTACCTTTAAAACACAGTAATTTCAAAAATAAGTTACTCCAAAAATTTACTTGAGGATGAAATGGAACCAATGTCTTTAATTTAATTACAAAATTAAATTCGAAGCTTTTAGCTGCCATTTTTGAAACATGGTTAGAACTGTGTAGCGAAAAAAAAACACATTTTAAATCAGTTAATTTATAATATATATATATATTTTATAAATTAACTGATTTAAAATATATTTTATATATATATATATATATATATATATATATATATATATATATATAGATAACTATACTCGTTTCGAAAAACCCTTGAATTTTGATTTGCCAATAATCAAATCAATCTCAAGGGGAAAAAAGGTTTTAAAAAAAGAAAGAGCTACAAACATGAAAGTCTGTCTGTCGAAAAAAATCGCACAGATGCAGGTTTGATGCCTAAAGAAAAAACCCCGATACGAGTAAACAACCAACTAACAAAAGAACTCAATACAACCGTAGAGCAGACCTAGATAAACCTAGTGAGCCAGACAAACCTACCTAGGTTTCACCTAAACTGATCGTCAGGGAAATTTGACGATCCGTTTAGGTGAAACCTAGGTAGGTCGTTCCTGGCTCTTTAGGATTTATTTCATTTATCCCTGCTCTATTTAGTGTATTGAACACTCTACGTTTTAGCTTTATTACTCACTTGGGGTTTTTCTTTGGACTAAAAAGGTACGGTACTGGACGATTTATTTCGCCCTGTTCGGATGTTTCTAGTTCTTTCTTTTCATTGGGTACCAGTAGTATAATATATATATATATAGTCATCTGCAGGTAGACTGTTTCGCAGCTTATCAGTGTGGTAAGACATCCGATTGCCTTAAGCCGGTATCGAAACCTGATTGATGCGGTATCAGTCGGAGGTTTTACCTCGTAGCTATCAGCGTCCAGTAGAGATGAAGGATTTTCACGTACTTATTCTTCGAATAAACACGTCAATGACCGAGAGGGCTCAATTCACCTTTCTAATCCCATCAAATTTGCACTTCACACTGTTATAGAAGATTCATTTTTCTTCCCTTGTCACCATTCCCTTTAAAAAAAAGCATCGTTTATTTTACGTTTCTTCAAGGAATTTATACAATCAACGATATAATTAGTTTCTTCTTTGGCCAAATTATTTCCTGTCTTGTTTGAAGAAACTTAAACATGTGAAAGTCTGAAGGCACAAGGACAAGCGAATATGAAGGATGCGGCAAAACTTCTCAGTAACACCCGCCGCGTTTGAAAAGAAGTATGCGGCCTGGTATTATCGTGATGTCCGTTCGGTTGGTAAGTGCTAAACGCTTCTGGTGGATCGCTTCGTTTAATTTGATCACAGGACATCCAAACTGATGGACCAGTCCGTCGGAAGAAACCCGTAAAAGACAACACGCTTCTATCACCAACTTGAAAGCATACACTTCTTCGGGTGAAGTCCTGCTGTTTTTGTTGTTTTTTTTGTGTGTGCGTTTGTTTGTTTTGGGGGTTTTTTGGGGGGAAGACCTGTTGCAGTGGCTCGCCTTGCTTCTCACTTGACAGTTTGCGCTTCACAAATTTATAGACGTTCCATTTTTTGTCCCCTGTCACCATTCTCTTAAAAAATGGTTCGTTTTCTTCAAGTTTTTACAACGAAACGTAGATGGAAATCAGTTGAGCAAGGTTAGCCTTATTCACTTGATGTAGGACCCAAACATGGAACCTGCTGAATGTAACCAAACATGCAGATGATTTTCAACGTTCCACTTGTAAATTTGAAGAATATCTACGATTATGTAGCCGTTGGCGTCGAATAACTCCATCATCTTGTCGATGTTAATCTAAGATGACCGGCCAGAGCGAGGTTGCATCTTGAACCGAAACATTTCGCGATCTTGAAATCTTGAAAACCACTTCCTGCACGCACGTCCTGTAACTGCAAATCTACGAAACAGGGCGCATATCTTCCTGCAGGTTTCCTTGCCTTTTTTTTTTTTTTTTTAAATAATAAAAAAAAATCTTGAAGCGTCAGTAATATTCGTTTTGATCCTCCATATTCAGGGTGATTCCAAGCACACAAAATATTAGGTTGGTGCAAAAATAATGACGTATTAATGTCGTTTTTGACGTTAAAAATACGTCAAAAAACGACATTATTACGTCATTATTTTTGCACCAACCTAATACCAGTTCTCTCGTCGCAAGTTCGCATCGATCCACGTTGAAATGTCTAGCATCTAACGAGTGCGCATGCGCAGGTGACAACCTGAAGTTAGCGACTTATTAAAGTGTTTGAAGCTTAGTGTCGACAAGAAACCGAACGAATAATTTGGCTAATCTAATAATTGGATGACTGAGGCTGCACTAACTTCTTGCTCTCAGTTTTCTTAATTTTTTTTTTTTTTTTTTGTCGTACTTAGGTAATTTAGCCAATACTAATTGAGAACTGTCCTAGGTAATATATGACTCCACTGGATATTAAAATGCCGGAAAAGCATTACAATCTTGTTTTCTTGTTTTATCTTTTAATTTGATTTTTTTTTTCTTCTTCCACTTTAAAAAAAAAAAATTAGAATTGCCGTTCTATTTTCAAATGTAGATTAATGACGCACAAAATATGAAAAAGTAACCACTGTTAAGTACAAATCTATTTACGTTGGCGGCCTTTCCTTGCAATATACGATATCCTTGCGTAGATTAACCCGCGGCAGGGGGGCTGCATAATGACATCATAGATCGGATCAGATTTCATTTTTCACCGTTTATAAGCTTGTAATTTTGTCTAACATCAGTCAATGTTCATTAAATAAACGAACTTTAAGCCTTTAACTTTTTCTTCCTTTCTTTTCTTCTTCTAAGAACGTCATTTCTTTTCTTTCTTTTCTACTTTTTTCGCACTCTCTCTTTATTCCTGTTCTTTCTTTTTATATGTTTCTTTCTTTCGATTTTCTTTTCTTTCTTTGTATTTTTTTATTATAAAAAATTATTTTCTTTCTCCTTTCTGTTTTTCTTTTGTCTTCTTTCCATTCTTTATTTTTTTCTTTTTCTTTTCAATTTTCGCTTTTTACTTCTTCCTCTTTTTCTTTTTGTTCTTGATGCTATTTCATCTTCTCTTTCTGTCACTTTTCTTTCTTCTTTCTTTCTTTCTTCTGTTTTTCTTTTTCTCTTTCTTTCTTGTTTTCTATCGTTTTCTTATTATCAGTTTCAGTTTCGAACTTTCGTTGTTTCTTTTTTTCCTTTTCTATGTATTTTACTTTCTTTTCTTTTCTCTTTTCTTTCTCTCTCTCTTTTCTTTCTCTCTTTCTTTCTTTCTTTCTTTCTTTCTTTCTCGTTTTCTGTCGTTTTCTTCTTATCAGTTTTTACTTTCTTATTTTCACCTTTCCCTTTCCTTTCTTTGCAGCGTATTATAATTGTTCTCTTTCTTTTTTCTTTCATTCTTTCATTCTTGTTTTCTATCGTTTTCTTCTTATCAGTTTTTACTTTCTTTTTTCTTTATTTTCTGCGTATTATACTTTATTTTCTCTTTTCTCTTTCTTTCTTTCTTTCTTTCTTTCTTTCTTATTGTCTATCGTTTTCTTCTTCTCAGTTTCTTTCTCATTTTCACTTTTCTTTCTTTTCTGCGTCTTATTCTTTCTTTTTTATTCTCGATTAACGCCATCTTGAAAAGAAATAATATGACTTAATTATTTTAAACACACAACACATCATTTCGTTATCCAGCTGATGAAGCCGTTGAAGACGAAATGCTTTATCCGATATTATTTTCGGGACATATTTTCATGAGGACTTTTCCAAATGTCATTGAATTATTAAGGAGTATATTCATTTATTTCTATCTACCTTTCGGCTGTCTCAGTTACTTTAAGACTCAATGTAGTGTATGGGTAGACATATCTCCTTTGTCTTCATCCTCCTATTCTTTGGAAAGCGGAACTTTTGAATTCGTCAACGGTGACGTTACTGGTAGCCGTTATTGGGTGCGATGACGCACAAAACAGATCACATTCTTTTTGGTGCGGCTTTACCTCCCAAGAACACTGCGCATATGTGCACACACACACACAATATATATATATATATATATATATATATATATATATATATATATATATATATATATGTGTGTGTGTGTGTGTGATAGATAAATAGATAGATAATATTAGTGGTCAATATATATATATATATATATAAATTTCAAAGGATAGAATCCAGGTAGAGCTCAATGTCCAGAACAGAGCAAGAATATAATATAAAAGGCTGAAACACTAATATTCCATGTTCACAATTTATTACGCTGAAATCGTAATCACGATCCAATTCATCAGACCTACAAATTTAAATTTTCCGATTTCTTTTCGAATTTGTTGGTCTGATGAATTCAGATCATGATATATTCAATGTAATAAATTACAGCCATGGGATATTAGTGTCTGAGCCTCATATATATATATATATATATATATATATATATATATATATATATATATATATATATATATATATATATATATATATATGTGTGATAGACGAATTGTCCTCTAAATTACGAAAATATGAAAATAATACTAACAGCTCATTTTAATAGATATATTTACCAAAATTACACAAAAATATCTTGAAATAGAAAAGAGTAAATTTATTAAAAAAAAAATAAATAAAATCGTCATTGGCTTCAATCACTGCCTCCAGATGGTTTCAGAATCTCCGGCAATTCTGGATGCTCTCCTTGTATAAGTTGGTGAATGCTGCCATAAATCGTTGCTTTTAGTTCAGAAAATATCCAGAGCATCACAGACTATGAATCGAGGAAGACCGATATCCGCTCTTACGCCTGACCACAAAGAGCACATTCTACAGGTTGTCGGTAACGATCCACGTATCAGCAAACCTCACGTGACCCTAGCATGTCGTGCATCTCATCGTACCGTATGGAGGGTACTTCAAGAGCAGCACGTGTATCCGTATCAATTACAACGTGTGCAATGTCTGTCGCCATCTGATCATGCAACTGAACTTTTGCTGATGGTTTTTTGCACAAAATGCCAATACGTTGTTTGTTTCTTCAGTTTTTCTTTTTTTACGGATGGTGCAACATTTGAAAGAGATGGAATAACAAATCTACGCAATCAACATTTGTGGGTGGATCGGAATCTCCATGGTACGATACAGGCTAGACACCGACATCATTGTACGATTACTGTGTGGGCTGGTATTGTAGGTTAATGTCTGGTAGGTCCATATGTTCTCCCAGCACGTCTTACAGGAGCTGTCTACAGGGAGTTTAATTGGAACACACTTTCAGACCTGCTAGTGAAAGTGCCCCTGATAATAAGCCGACAGATAAGATACTGCGATTAAGCATTTAATTTTTCTCGTATTCTTAAAAGTGTTTCTTTTCTGGACACAGAGTGTATAGAAACTGTCCAAATGTTTTATAATTCCGAGCACTTTCGGTTATACTTTCTGCCATTATCAAGGAATATTATTTTTTCAGTTTAATTGAGTGAGTGCGTTGTGTGTATGATTTTAGTGTCATAGAGATGTTTTTTCCACCATTAAAGATTGATAGGTAGCGAATGACAGGGTCCATAGCCTGCACATTCTACCATTGGATTTTTATCTGTGAGGTCATTAATAATATAGGGACGATTCATCTACGTGTCATGGGGGGGGGGGCTGTTAAACCATTGGACACCCAGTGGGAGTATTTGAAATGGTCCACCAGTCAATGATCCAACGGGTGCATGCATTTGTAGAACCAAGCGGGAGACATTTGTTATGAGTTGCTCCATTGAAGTACAACGATGGCCTTCTGGACATATGTTTATATGGAACTTTTACCTTGTTTTGTTGCCAGGAACCCGCCCCAAGTATTTTTAGATTGTATCTTGGATTGTATATTTAACAGCATCTAGCGGAAACTTTAAACTAAAAACGAAGCATTTGCGAGCATATGTTTATATAGACTTTTGTCATTGTTTTGGTGTGAGGAACCCGCTCTAAAGCTTGTAAAAATATGTTTGATACTCCCTGTATATGCATACAATATACACACGCACACACACACACGCGCAATATAGATAGATAGATAGATAGATAGATAGATAGATAGATAGATAGATAGATAGGGGGGAAGACAGATGTGCGATGGCTTAATTGTCATCTAAATTACGAAAAAAAAAAGCTGACACCTCACTTTAAAATATAGATTTACCTAAATTACACAAAATTATCTTGAAATACTAAAATATACATTTATTCAATAAAATCGCCATTGGCTTCAACCACGTCCTCCAGACGATTTTGGAATCTCTTGCAACTCTTCTGGACGGTCTCCTTGTTTAAGTTGGTGAATGCCGCCATAAAATTTGCCTTCAGTTCATCTCAGGTGTTACAAGGAGTTTTGTTGGTATCTCGCTCAATTGCACCCTACACAAAATAATCAAGAGGGTGTTACAGTCTGGGGTGTTAGGTGGCCTGATGTAAGGGGTGACGTGATCGCAGAAATTGTCTGACAGCCATGATTAGGTTTTCCTGCTTGTGTGACATGGTGCCAAACATAGGGTCTTTCAGCAGCCACCCTATTCACTCAGTGCAGCACTGCTCCCTCGTTGTTGCGTCTGAGGCCCTCGCCATCAAATTCAGAGTCAGTTTTCCGAGCTGCTCTACCTTCGTAATAACTATTAGGCTCATCCAGGTCATTCCAAATCCTCTGCACTTTCTTCAGATTGACACCCAAACACTGTGAAATGTCCGTATTGCAGCTTCCGGTGCGAATGCCAAGCAGTACAGCATGCTGTTTCCAGGTTTCTACCGGAGTGTATTGCGTCATGGTGCTTTGTTCCTCACAGACAGTGCCCAACTGACCCTACCATACTGTGCAGCCGACAAAACAAAAACAAACAAACATGCGCAAAATTAAACTCTTTAGTAGTACATTATATTCATAGGTAAAAGTGTCCACTATCAGCGATAGAGTGTAGATAAATATAAAAGTGGACACTGAGGTCAACACCGAGCGGCGACAGTCTATTTCATGCGTGACCGCAATCTTCAGGCCATGTTGTTCTGACGAAGTTTCAGAGAAAAGAGGAACCCTGAAACCTAACATCCGAAAGAGGCAGTTGAGATTTCTCGGGAACATAATAAGAAAAGAGGGATTGGAAAGCATGATACTCACAGGAAAGATTGATGGCAAGAGGGAAACCACGCATAACCTGCCTAACGATCATGTGTAAACGGATGGTAGAGCAGGGTTTAGGAGAAATGACAATAAGACAACATTTACTAAGCACTACAAAGTAGAGGAAATTATAGAGAGCCATGATCGCCAAAGTCCTGAAGGGACACGGTACATAGAAGAAGAATATCTTCTGTACCTAGAAAATATACTGTAAAGTTATTGGCACGAACCATTTCCCCAAATCTGAGCGTATGACCAAACATCTGAATATTTATTTACATACTTGTGTCTGTCTATATATATATATATATATATATATATATATATATATATATATATATATATATATACATAAAAAGAAATATGTTGTAGTGGTTCCAACAAGAGAAAAGTATGTATATTAAAAAGAAGAGAAGAGAGGTGCCGCAAACGTTTTTGGTTGTAATGTGGATTTATTTAGAAAAAAATATTATGCTTTGTTTTACATAATTTTACGACACGTGTTTCTGGTCTCGCGACCGTCTTCAGGTAAAAGCGGAGATTTCCACATATTATTAAAAATAATTCATTTTTTCCTTATGTTCAATGTTAAATATTCTCGATATGAGACATTCTCTGTTTGTGTGTTGGTAATCCGAATTTCTTTCTTGAATTGGCAATCTATATATATATATATATATATATATATGCGTGTGTGTGTGTGTGCATGTTTCATTAAAGACGTTTAATTGTGTGTGTGCGTTATATGTTTTTAGTGTTATAGAGACGTTTTATTTTCCGAACACAGTCAGCACATTGTGGCTGTGTTCGTAATTAATATTATTAAGTGTTGGCTTTTTCTTTTTATTATTAAGGCTTCCATTATTTTTTATCTTTTCTTAAAGGTGGATGAGGTTATTATGTTGGTATTTTCTACTTGTACGTTTCGGATGGAGTGTGGTAATTTTGTGTGTGTGTTTAAATGGGTTCTAATAGAGCTATGATCAGATAGCTGTAACATAAGGTGCCTGGATAGGTATGTAGTCGTGTGACATGTAATTATCAATGAATTCGGTTTGATCAGGAACACTGTTCCTTAAGGGGCATTTGAACTCATAGATAATGTTCGTTCGTTGTAATTTGACTTTGCTGGTGTGTTGTTATCTTTGAGGATAGGGTTAGCTGTTTAATTTTTTTTTTTTTTTGTAATAGATAATAAATTTGATTTTTTTTATTCGGGTTAGTTGGGGTAGTGTCTTCCTTTATAATATTTCTAAGTGAATTAAACTGAGAAAAAAAAATCATCCTTGATAATGGCTGAAGGTATAACCGAAAACGCTCGGAATTATAAAACATTTGAACAGTTTCGACACACGCTGTGTTCAAAAAAGAAAACACTTGTTCGAACACAAGAAAAATTAAATAAAAAGCTTAACCGTAGTACTTTATCCATAGTTTTTTTAATGAAAAAGCATAAATAAAGGATTGCT